TTTCAAAATATGTCAGAATGTGCCAGAAGCAGAGACATCTTTGAGGGCGATTGGTTCAACTAAAAGATGATGGCTTTCTATTTTAAGGAGGTTTTCAGAAGGAGTGAGTGGAAGAAAAGATACAACAAGCAGATTCAGGAGTTCCAACTTGTGGAAATTGGAATAGAATGTGAGACGGAAAAGCTGTGATTGTGCTAACCCAGTAAGACTTACCTTTATGGTCAGAGAAGAAGAATGTTGCTGAGACCTGATTCATCTCAGCTGAAGACGGATATCTAAAATAGATCAGAGGATGTTTAAGATTAGATGAGATGAGTCTCGACAAAGTAATACACCAGAATAGAACTCCTGTTTATGTGTACTGAAATACATTTTGTTCTCAAATGGAGTTTCTCGTGGTTGCACTTTTGACTTTGATTTAATATGAAAAGTTTTTCTGTAATACCTTTTAAAAGAAGGACCTGTTTCTTGAGGTTTAGCAAATATAAATATGGTGGTTACTTGTCTGATAGGCAGATTTTTTTTCTTGTGGAGCTCAATAAGCTCAGTGGAGTAAATTTTTCATAATTAACTGTCAAATGCATGATCATCACAAGTAATGAAATACTCTTTAAGATGCTGTTCATCTTAAAGTAGATTCATTCATACTGTTCATTCAGTAGAATTATAATATCCTTTACATCAGTTTTGCTAATCTCTCTACTAGGGACCTGAGTTAGTGATTTATGTGCTGGGCAATTAAATGCATGTTTATAGACTTTTACCAGTTTTACTATAAATTAAACAAAGCAACATGTAAATGGCCTCTTTGTGCCTGTTTTCGGTAAAGACTTCATTTACTTCTGCCTAACCTTGCAGATGCAAGGGAAAGCTGTAGTGTAGGGTTGCAGCCATACGTATTAGAGAAGCTCAATAAGGTATTTGGAAGTTTTGCATTATAAAACATAGTGTTTTATGAAGTCTTTTCAGTAATGTTATTTAAAAATACTTGTTGCCTTTCGGTACACTTGTTGAGGTATTAAGTGCATGTATAATTTTGATCAAACAAGCGGTCACATCATTAAGTTAGTTCTTTTCTTACATACTTTTTAATGTAGTGTTCTTATATAATGGGATTATGGAAATTTCTGACCTTCAGTTCTCAGATCATTCACAACTTCTATGTTAACAGTCAAATGATAAATTAGAAGAGTTGGAAATTGTGCTGTTTAGCAATTACATCTTATAAAAACTGTTTGACAATTGAGGTGAGTTATTCGTGTAGTTCTGCTTGGGGATTGTTGGAGTGGTCTTCCCGCCCTGTACCTGCCCTGAAGTGTAAAAGCAGGTCTACCTTTCTCAAGTTCACTTTATGCTTGAAGAGAAATCAGTTGGAGTTTTAGTCTTCATAACATGTCTTTAGCTTCTTGAGGAGACTTAGGCATGGTCTGTGCTGCATTAGTGTGGAAGGTTGTGCATGATTGCTGTTGGAAAGATTTCTTTATTAGTCATAGCTGTCGAGCCTTCACTGAGATTTTTCAAATACTAGATGAGCTCTGTCAGGTAGACAGAATATCCTTACGAAGGATACAGTTTCTCATTGTATGCTGCGTATGTGCTTATTATCCCAAACAATGTATTGCAGTGAGCGCTCAAACCACCTTTCAAGCAGCAACATCTTAGGGTTTAATTGATTCTTCTGGGGTTTTTTTTCTACCTCGGTAACTTTGCCTAAACGGACTTATTGTAAGTTCACATTTTTGTTTCCTTTACTGTTTTACTGTAAGTCTGATTTTCTTGTAAGCTTATTCTGTAGAAGATGAAAAACAAGTACCAGATGCAGACGAAATTGTGTTTTTTACACTTGAATATGTCGAAATGTATTTATGCTAAAGAAAAATTTATTCTCTAAATTATATGGGTTTTTTAATTTATGCAAGTGAGTAGCCCTACTTATCTTCAGAATACTGTAGTCAAAGGGAATTTGCATATTCATAACATTAAGTTTATGTAAAGAAAATTTGCTGGACTAGAGATTTCATTTTGTGGTTGTTTTTTTAAGAATACAATGTCTGTGCATTGCGGTATCCCTCTTTGAAAAAAAGAATTTTTAATATTATTAATTTTCTTACGTAGAATGGTACTGTTATTATTTATACACAGCATCATTTTCACTGTGCTTTCCTGGAGGCAGTACTACCTCATGTGTTAGTTCGGGAATTCAGAAAACCTGTTGCAGTCTTTTTTTACTCAGATTAAGAATAGGTGCTAGACCACTGCACAGTGTCTGCCAACCAAAAAAATAATGTAAAATGGGGGTGAGGGGCAGGAAATCTTGGTGCAAGTCACATTGTACAGGTTTATTCACAGGAATGCAAGAAACCAATTCCAAAATAAAGGTGAATTTCAGGTATCTTTTCATTAGTTCAATACTTGTCCTTGCCTTTGAACTGAAGGTGACCTTGCAGTTTTATGCAGTGTATTAATTTAGGTCATTGCTTTTAAGAATTGCCATAAAAAGCTAAAATGGAAGGACTTTTCATTATTTCATTTCGATAACAGTGGTGATTCTACCTAAATGTGATTTAATGTAAGGACTATAAAGTGAGGAATGGTATGATTTTAGGACATTATGCCTCCATGTTCTCTGACCTGTGGAATTTGCTTTTCGCATACCGTTCTGCAGGGTTTTGGGAAAGAGGCAGCCTTATTTGTTCCTTTCTTCCTGTGCTGGACATTCCCATAAACCAGCCATTATTGATGCAGTGTTATGGAAAAGTTTGTCATTACTGCATGGTTACAGTTTGGTATATTCTGAGCCCAATTGTAATTCTTCCTGTTTATTTCTAGGAATTTAGAACATGATGAATTAAAGCTCTTTTGAGTGCTTTGTGAGGTCTTGTCTTTTGATCATGGGTGGTTGATTTATAAGCACTGCAAGGCTGAGCACTGAGAGCTCTAAGTTCGTTGGAGTTAGAGGCAGTTTTAATTCAAACAGGATTTTGTGAGTGAAGAATGACTCAATTTTTTTTTTTTTTTTGAGAGACCAGAGCTCTAGAGGTTAGGATGTCATTGCACTATGCGTGTTTTGTTGGCTTGGAAAATGCTCAGTAGCAGTTTAAATTGCTGTAGACAAATAATGGGCTTGTATCACCTGATAACTCTCATTTGTAGTCTCTACGTGTATTGTCTTTATATAGTCTTGTATGGTATTTTCTCTTTGTGAGAAGTATGACCTGCCCGAGTATTGGGTTTTGTCATGATTGTACACTTCTGATCTCTAGGATATGATGTCCTGAAACAGTTAACTAACATTAAAGATATTTAAAAACTATATATTAACAGATTGGAGCGCTCAGAGATTATTTATAAAACGTAGAACATCACCCACAATGTGTCTGTCACAGATGGAAAAAATGAATGTATTGACAAGTATGTAGTCCATTGAATAAGTTTATAGACCTAAAATCCTACCCAAGTTTGCCAGAAATTAGCAGTTTGTCTCCAGTACTGGATGTGAATTATCTTAAACAGGAACATAAGTCCCATTATGCAGGCAATTCTTTATTCCCTGCATATCAGAAGAAAGTAATTTACTTTGTTTTCCTGAGAATGTGACTGTGAAATTTATTCCTGAAACATTCGCTAGACAGCATGGTGCAGTTTTAACTTGTGTGTTTGGTAGGGATAAATATATACCACATTCTCATTTCCTTCCAGAATGAATATGCTAGAGAAACTTGCCATATACAATCAGATTTCAGAAAAGCCAGTGCTTGGTTTGAAGTCTGCTTCCAGGACTCTTAACTGTACAGGTTATTTCATGTCTTGATGATACTTACATGTTTAGACTGGCTGTTTTCATTAAGTCGTAAGAAATAACACAGACTAAAGTGATCTTCTGTGTGCTCAGAGAGGTACCTACACAGACGAGACTTGCAAAGGAAATGGAACGTCTGTATTTGAGAACAGGTTTTTATTCCTGTTGTAGCTCATAGAAGTACTGGTATCCAACTAATCGTTGGGGTTTTTCACGTGTTCACTGAAGGAAGAACATGCTCATACTCTAAAATACCAAGGAAAGACAATGGTTCTAACTTTGTGCTTGTCATCTGTTGTGGCCCCAAATGTGTTGGCCGCATACTGTAGGTAAGTCTTCTCATACTAGTAGAGTATGTGTTGCCCGCCTACTCAGCCTCTGTAATGTTCCTCATTTCTCAGTAGAAGTTACTGGTGTAGTAGTCAAGTCAAGATTTAGGCTTCCATATGAATGTGAATCATTGTAGCGTCGTCACGCTTCACTGTTCTTCCAAGCAGTACAACTGTCATACTCTTTCTAATAATGAATACAGGGCAAATTAAATCTTGGAAACTGCCACCATTGTTTCAGCCGCATGTATGTACACAGATTTCTCTGTTCAGACAAATGTAGTTGGGAAATCATGATGTAGTATATAGTAATTTTCTTGTGCTGTAGTACAAGAGGATATAACTTGTCAACATAAACAGCAATTTTAGTTGTATGATTTTTGTTAACAGTACAGATAATGTAGTAGCTGAGAGGAAGAGGTGAAAAAAATAATGAAATGTAGTAGACAGCATTTTTTTTACAGTGATTTTTGTTTTGGGGGCATAGAATACAAATTGGATAGACTTCAATTGCTAAATCTGGTTAAGTGTGAAATTAATTTTAATATGGCTTAAGTGGAACAGTAGCTTTGATATAGTTGGTTTAAAGAAATCACTGGTTACTTAGGTTATGGTTTCAAGTTTATAATCACATTTTATTATTTTTTGATACTACACCTCCTAAGAATTCCACCTTAAATGGAAATGCTGATGCTAAGGGAAGATATTTATTTTATTGATGCTGCATTATGGAATTTAAATGGATAACTGCTGATTGTTAAGTACTGTGTGTGTTTAAAACTGTACAATGTCTCTTTTAAACATAGTACAAGAAATACACAGAGAAAAACATTGTAAGTAATAAGTGTTTTGTCCCATCTACCTTTTGACAGGAGAATTAGATGACAGAGAACAGGCAAAGCTGGAAGTAAAAGTATGGGATCCAGATAGCCCCCTTACTGACCGTCAGATTGACCAGTTTTTAGTTGTAGCACGGTAAGATTAAAATCCTCTAATAAAAAAAATTCCTTTTCCTTTTCCTACTGACTATTTATTCCCCTATATCGTGTAATTCAATTTGTTTGCCATTTTGTGAGCCCTTCTCTTTCCCACAGTTAGCTAAAAGAGAAAATCAGACCATAATCTTCTGCATATTTATTGAAGGTACCAATACAGAAGAAAGAAAAAAAGAGAGTGAGTTTCGGAATAATGCTACACTGCCTGTATTTCAGGTTATAGTAGAATTTGATACTTTAAATGTAGACATCAGTCTGTTTTCCCCTCAGAGTAAATGAAACAGGATTTCAGTGCTAATATTTCAGTCTTTTATTATAGTACTTGGAATTTGGTACTGTAATATAAAGTTAAGGGTAGAAATGAAGAAAATGTTAACAAATGAAATGGATGCAGAACTTGCCCAATTTGCATATAAGCTGACTAATATGCAGTGCAATTGTTTTGGATCAATTTTGAAATAAAAGTTTTGAAGTGATGCATTTCATTAGTGAAAAAAATCTGGTCAGTTCAATTTTACAAATTAACATATAACTGCAGATTTAGGAGAGGAACATCAAAGCCCTTGAAATTCATAAATACCTTTATAAATAATTTTTCTACTTTAAAAAAAACTTTCAAAACTCTATAGACTTCTTACTGAAGGACAACTCTATGCTCATAAGATACAGCATGTTTTGTCTGTCCTGTAATTCCTACTTACAAATATAGTTACAAAGGTACTTGTTCTAATGATGGCAGAGAATTTCTAATCACAACTAATGTAGGAATTTTATCCTGAATCACTCCATCTCCTGTATTTTCTGTAACCTGGTTGCAGAGTGTAGCCTCAACTCTTCTTAGGCAAATAATGCTATTACATTGTTTCCAGTTTCTGTTCTTTATTCTTTCTCCCTTTTAAACAAAGCATTTCAGGAAGGAAATAAGAGAAGTTGCTTTATATTTTCCAGCTTATGTGTATGGTGAAATGGGTTGCTGATTTATTGTTTTACGGTTCAAATGCTGATCCACCTGGGTTTCTTTCTCCCCCACTTTGTAATGCTATATCCTTTCTATACACTAGTAAAAATTGCCTGTCCCTGTTGAATTTCCAAGCAAGCCAGAAGGGTATAGGTGTCTGTTCAGAAGATCACAATGCCTGGTAGATGCTCCATAGAACGGAACTCAGAAAACAGAACTACTTCTACCAGCAGCAATATAATACCTGGATACGTATGGGCAGACCCATTATGTGGAGCCTTAGAAATACCATCTGTGTGATGACTACATGTGTTTTTGAAGAGTTCCTTCATTGCCTTCACATCCCTCCACTCCCTGTTTTGCAGCCACTCTGGGGAGCTGTAGTAGTATACTGTGAAGCTGAAAATTTTCTGAGGAGTGTACCAGTAAGCAGTCTACTGGGAAGTGAGAGAGAATAAAGTTTTAGAGAAAAAACATTCTCCTTCCTTTGTCCCCTTATTTAAGACATCCTGTGCAATGCTGTGCCCTGACCAAGACTGCATTTGTTTAGAAGTTGATGCATTCCTGTAGAAAAGGTTTCTGTTATGGAGGGAATGGGTCTTGGTCATAGCTGACTAATTACAGAATCACAGAATCACTAGGATTGGAAAGGACCTTCAAGATCATCAAGTCCAACCATTAATCCAGTGCCACCATGTCCCCTAAACCATGTCCTGAAGCGCCACATCCACACGTTTTTTGAACACTTCCAGAGGTGGCGACTCCACCACCTCCCTGGGCAGCCTGTTCCAATGCCTGACCACCCTCTCAGTGAAGAAATTTTTCCTAATACCCAATCTAAACCTCCCCTGGTGCAACTTGAGGCCATTTCCTCTCGTCCTATCACTAGTTACTTGGGAGAAGAGACCAACACCCACCTCACCACAACCCCCTTTCAGGTAGCTGTAGAGAGCGATAAGGTCTCCTCTCAGCCTCCTCTTCTCCAGACTGAACAACCCCAGTTCCCTCAGCCGCTCCTCAGAAGACTTGTGCTCCAGAGCTATCCCAGATCTTGTGGTAGGCAACCACTAATGACCGTCTGTAATCAGATGTTACTCAGGTACCACTTTATTGATATTCTTCCACAAAACTCCATTCATCTTTGTAAGATGCTTTTGAACTGACCGAAACTATTTCCAAGCTCCTATATACTTGTATTCACAGGCTGCACGATCCCGTTTCTGTTGCATTAAGTGCTGCTGTGACAGGTTTTCACCAGTTTCTGGAGAAACAGTTCTCCTATGGCTATTGTGGCAGCTTTAAATTCAGTATGTTGTGTGCCTGCATGTAAAGGCTTTCATTATATTGGACCATTAAAAGCTGCTTGAGTAACAGTGGAACTGGTGTTAAGATCTGTTGAACTGCGTGTGCCTACAGGCTCAGAAGATACTTCTGCTGTGCCCTAACTGGGCATTGGCTGTGCCCGCTGGCTTTCCAGTGAGAATGGTATTTCTCTGGTTCCTGGAAGTTGTGTTTAGTTTTACAAATTTGAATTTCTGACAATAAGAACTTTTTCCTAAATGCTTCCTATATGTGATTTTGGTTAAGTGTGCGTATGATATCTGTATTTGAAAGTTTAAAAGCATTTTCATGTGATCTTTTTTACATGGTGCATCAAAGGCATGCAGTATTCTCTTTTTTTTCAGTCTGCTCTGGCTGAAGGAAGCGTTGCTTTTGTCCTTGTAGGCTTTAGCTTTTTCAGTCACACAAGCATGCTTTGTTGGTTCTTTAGAAGGTGTTTAAACACTCTATTTGTATAGCCCATTTGCAAGGACATTTATATTTGGCCTAGGGCATGTAGCTTTCCCAGTCTTACAAGGTTTGTTTACTGTCTCAGGAACACAAAAAGCCTTTTTTTCTAGGTTTATATGCTTGGTCAGTCTTGGCCTGTCACTAAGTGCTACTATGCAATAAACTGGTAGTATGCTATAATAAAGGTAGAAGAATATGCGTATTCTGTCCAGAAATGGGAGGTAGCAGTGCCAGAAAAATCTATGGAGGTTTTGAAAAAAAACATGAGTGTTTGAGTGGAAAGATGCTTAATCTTGAGCTCCCTAAGTAGCCTTGCTTGACTGTGCATTTGCAAATCTTGAAAGTACCTTATCGCTACTATTGAAGCATAATTTGGGCAAGGGCCTCTTGCTTGAGCTAGCAACAGCTTCTGTTAGGAGAAGCTTGAGGCATCAGACTAATGCATTCTGGTTTTGAGTTGTTTTTTGGGTAACGCACTGTCATTGATACTCTGGCAATGAGAATTCCAACACCATTTTCCACTCCATTCAAATAAGATACAGCTTCATCAACCAATTTTTGTTCTGTCATATATGTTGGCAACAGTTCTTCTGTGTCTACTAGCTACAAAGAACAGGACTCTGAGAAGCTGCTACAGCAGTTTAGATTCTGTCCATGTTGGCAAATAGTGCACTACAGTAGAAGTGGTTTCGTAGAATTGAAATGTTTAGTGCTGGGGACCTACTATCCACACTATGCACATTTTAAGCAGTTTTATTTTTAGGCTGACTTTAATCTGGTCCTGTGGATGAAATGTCTATGAGTATGTGGAACTAGTGTTTAACTTAACAGAAATATAGTTTGTATGCTACAAGATACCTTTTGATGTTGGTTGAAGTGCAGTAGATAAAGATGCTGGGGACAGTTGCTTTGAAACTCCATTCCGTATTTGAACTAAAACACTCATAAAGGTGCACCCTGTTTTCTCCAGTCATCAGTCTCTATCATTCCTGTTATACAAGGAATACTTAATTTCCTTGTGAGATTTCATGTTCTTTTTCTAATTCTCTTCTAGGTTGCATAGTATTAGGAAATAGAAGCTTTCCTATTGTATGTATAACATAATAGGACTGTCTTTTTCCTAATTTATCAGAGTCAAAAATGGTCCTGACCAGACTCAAATGTGGTGGGAGTTGTGGGCTCTAATCTGGTAGGCCTGGCCCCCACCCTTTTTTTTTATTTATTTTATTTTATTTCTATCTGCTAATTTGGTCTATAATTCATTACATGGTAAGTTTTTTGTACATTCTAGTTCCATTTATGTACTTTATGATGCAGTGAAACTGTGAACAACTTAGTTCTTTTATTCTGTGTCATCTAAGTAGATTATCAACATAGTCTTCTGGGAGGAATATATTTCTAAATCAAGTTGTTTTCCAGGCATTTGTGGTCCCACCCTTTTTCCAACTAAAACAGAGTTTTGAAGACTAGCTAAAATAGCCTTAAAGCATTGCATCTCTACCTTAAAATTTTGTTCTGTGATTACTTTGAAATTAAAATGGCATTGCCTACCTCTGGCTAACATAATATATTTCTTTTCATTTGAATGCATTTTTTGTTCTAAAATCACAGAAGAATGGAAAATTACCTGTTAGTCATTTTTAATTAGAGCTTGATCCTTCCTGTGTTGTTTCCACTTTTCCATTTTCTCTAAGACAGTGATTATATTAATTTTCTGTTGGTTACTATTGATTTAGTTACAAGTGCTTATGGTATATGGAGGTTTATTTGTTACACAAATTTATTTTACAGTGAGGAATGGAACACAGTGTGGCTTCAACTAGCAATCTGTCTTGTATCGAGGAAAAGAATACACTCGTCAGCTGAGAACAATAAGTAAAAACATTTAAAAGTGTGCTCAAATGGTAATACTCCGTTCTTGCAAGATAATTCAGTGTAGTCAGTGGCAGTAGTCAAGACTCCCAGAGCTCATAAATAAAAATAAAATACATAAAATTCACTGGTTTGAAAGCCTCAATATTGGTGTGCTTCTGGATTCTCTTCAGGTGGTAAGAAGTAAAAGGAATTTGAGTTCATTAAAGAAGTAATGAAATTTAGTGACAGAATTGCAAAATAAAATTATGCTGTAAAGAAGGTGAAGAAATCTTGATGCCAATGCTGCACTTGCAGAACTAGGTGTTTGCTAGCAAGGTGAGTTACAGCATCTAATGGTAGGCAGATGGTTTGGCAAT